GAACGCCCTCGGAGGCGAACGCACCGGGGTGCGCGGCCGCTGGCAGCCCTGGGTGGCCCCTGCTTCTGTCCTTCGAATTTGCCTGGGAGGTGTGCGCTTGACTTCGACGCTTCCTGGGGACCCTTGCTCTGAGAGTGTGCAGGACATCCCCCTCAGCTCCCGAGGCTCCTCCGCTGGAAACTCTGGTCCCTCGCTGAGACCCTCAGTTACTATTTACCCTCTTCTGCCGGTGTTCGGTTGGAAATACAGGGGGAGAATTCGCTTGCTGTTCTTTTTTGCACCTCAGCTTTCTCTTTGTCGTGCGATGTGTTTGGGTACATGCATGACTCTAAACCTCATTTTTCTCCCAACTTAAGGCTATCCTGTGAAGGAGCTGGGTTTTCAACCAAGCCTAGTTTTCCTTGGAGGGGTGTAATATTTTTTTTTTCAGAGGAGGGATGCGTGAATTCCGTGGTGTGTTGGCGAAATCAGCAGAAGTGGGGAAGGGGCTCGCACTTTGTGTTCGCTTGCGCATATCGGCGGGGTGGGGGGGGAAGATGCGTTCGCAGCAGATTTTCATCCTTTGGTGTAAGCCCATGCCTTAATTTGAGGAGGAGGCGTAAGGGGGTTGTAAATGTACATACGGGCCTGGAGGAAGCTAGGGCAGAGTTAAAGACAGAAAGTGTCACTAATAACCATAACCTTTAACTGCTAACGCAGCACTTGCCCAAGGCAGGCCGGTGCAAGCAGCTGGTCATAGCTGGGCAGCAGTGGTACAGGCACCTCCTGGGAGCAGCGGCTGGCCTCGCTTGTGCGTGTGCCTGGTTAACGTGATGCTTGCTTTCCTTGGCGGTACAGATTTTCACGACTTGCTGGTAACTTTCCCTCTTGTTCAGCCTGGGTGTTCGGCAGTATCTGCCACGATGCTGTGGTATCTGCATACTCACGACATGCATTGAAGTTTAACATTTTGCGGTTATAGGTGTGCAGAAATACATGTGAAAACGGATGTGTGAGGGAGAATCAGCGTTAAAGATAGCTGTTTCTTAATGCACACTCCTTCCTGTCAGGCTAGAGGTAGCTGCTAAAATGATTCAGAACTTAGTCTCTAGGTAGAATGCATATATATTTGTAAAAAAAGGCCCCTCCAGCTTTGGACAGATTGTTTGACATGATTTAAAAGGTACTAAAAAGAACTGATGATTTAACATTAAATGAAAGAAAATAAGTGTATTTAGTAATAAATATTAATGTCCTTAACAACACTTTAAAATATAGCTGTAATGTACTTTTGCCAGGTCATTTGATGATACCTCTACTTCTTTGGTATCAGTGAGACTTCTTGTCCAGTATTGTGCTACTCACTTTGGCTAAGGATATTGGAATATAGTTTCTTTTCTCAGCCTGTCTTCCCGTTCATTACTGTGTGAAGAAGGAAAAAAACACCTAATTGTACTGCTAGCGTGTGCTGCTACTACTGATGTTACACTTGCCCTTCTCCTGAAGTAAGGGCTCATACCCTTTGGTTGGTTTGGACTGGCCACGTGGGCAAGCAAAGTCAGTTTTCCAAGGGATGTTTTACTTCCAGAAGTACCAGTAATGCAGAACTATGAAGGCGCGAGGTGACCCATTTTATGGATGTTAGTGACACTGCAAGTGAATCCCGGATGTTCCAAAATGGACTGCGTGCAATTCTGAAGTATGTGATAAACCTGAAATCAGCTGTGTTCTTGTAGCAAAGTTTGCTAGGACAGTAATTGTGAAAGCATGCCCTTGTTTGACTAGACCGTAATGTCCCTTTAAAGGTTAAGCAGGTAATGAAACACAGGTACTGATTGGAATGCAGTGTTCGTAAACAGTGTTAACTTCTACTGATGTGGAATATGCTTGGAGACATTTGTATTTAATGAACAGTCCTCAGGAGAAGAGATAGGTCTTATTATGTTGGTATGATTGGTCACCAAGGCAAGGTAATTCAGAGTGAAGAGTGACATTGTCAGCTACAAGTTGCTGTCACACTATGGCATAGGTTTAATTTACATCACAGAGGATTTGCAGTGATTCTAGAAGATACAAAGTAGCCCAAATTTATGTCACAGTTGTTTACACAATGAAGAATTTTCTGGAATAAATTTAGCTTTTTATGTGTTAGCTTGTTTGATGTTACTTTAAGTGAAAATTAAATAAAGCAATACCAATAAAAGGGAGAGGAGCATGTAAGTGAACGCCTTTGTATTCAAGGTAACACTTTAACACAGGGTGCCTAGGACCTTCTTTTAGCTCACCAGAACATAATTTAACATTGTTTTACTGTGAAATATATGTATCTCACTGCAGATGTGAATTGCGAATATGGAAGACAACCACGTTTCAAATGCTACGGTACTTTAGGTGTTCACAACATATTTTTTTCCTAAGTTTTGTCGACTGTGTCACTGTTAAAGTGTCTGCCGGATATAGTTTAACCCAGCATAAACTGGAGACATCTCTGAAGTACTTTTAGACTGTGTACTTTACCTGCGTGTATTTTGGTAATTTTCCTTTAGATGCATACACTCCACTCATCTAGAAAATACATGTAATAAATGTATTTGCAACCATTATGGAAAATTTTTAGGGAATAAAACATTTTAAAATAGCAAAAAGTATTAATTACATTCTGGTTATTGAATTTAGGGACTCGTGCAGCATCCTCCTATGCCTTCAAGTTAGCGTGGTTTGGATAATTTGCATACAGTTCTGGTATCTACATGACTGCTTAAAATTGTAGGTTTTTCGGTAGGTGGCAGTCTTACCTATCAGTCGGTGCAATGTCAGTGCTGCAGCGTCTTGGCAGAGAGGGGATTACGGAGGGAGAGCATTGCTAGTAATGCTGGACTGTTATTGATGAGGTATATAATACTGATTTATTAGTTACAGGGGCTTGTGCAATCATAGCACTTTTTGCAAATGACTGCATGTTACTAGTTTTGTTAATTTAGCTTAATTAATATCCCATTGCAGGTTAGCTTCAGTTTAGTATGCTGTATAATTTACCAAATAGTAATACTTTTTATATATACAGCTGCTCTAGCTCTTACTAAGGGCCAGGATCCAATTCTTTTAAGAACCTACAGCCATGGGAAAACAAGAATCAGTGATTCCGTAGAAAGCTTACAGTCTCACATCTTTTGCATTTTGTTGGTTGAATGGCTGGTGGTCAAAAGTTTGCAAGCTAAGTGAAGTTACTGTTATTGGCAGTATTTCAGAGCACACTTACTTAGCAGATAAAGAGATTTCTGTATGTTACTGTTATATATACTCTGGAGATACAAGACATTCTACATGGTGGAATGTTATATCCAACAACTTTGAAGTATTTATGATTCACAGCTATGTTTGAACTCAGCTGAACATTGTTCTGACACCCAGATGGAAACAGTATGGAAGATAATGGAACAAATGGAGATAAAAACCGAGTGTAGACCTAACACCTTAAGTTGTGCTTGCAGTGTTTTAGCTTCACTGTCCCATTTTTGTGACCCTATTGCTAATATCATTGCAACTGGTAACGTTATGATACGTCGTCAGATGTTCAGTGGTCATCACCCGCAGCTTACTATATTTTTTTATTTTTTAAGGTTACCTTATCGAAGTTTATGAATATGATAAGGTTGATGAAGAGGGTAAGACAACAGAGGTTGTTTGGATGTGTGCATGCAGAAGTTTCAGGAAATCTTCTGGAAATTTTGTATGCCATTAGGCTCCAGAATTCCTTGCATGAAAGTCTTTTAGTATTAATAGGAGGCAAAGGGTGTCTATTAGGTCATTGTTGGACACACTTAATTCTTACTTTAGTACTGGAAATATGGAGCATAGAAGTGCAAAGTCTGCCTCACAAACATACTGAAGTTTGGTCCAGGTTCACCATTTGGAGTTTATTGTATTTTTTGTTATACCCATTTCATTGCAGATATTAACATATTTAAGCTCTTAAATTGCATATTCAACTTTTAGATATACATGGCCCATAGATTTCTTACAGGTACAGTTTGTTTTGGCAAGCAGAGAGATAATTGCTTCTTCTTGTGAATAAAAGGAAAGAGCACTGGTGCTTGTGATGTAAATAGCTTAAAATTAGCATTAGCCTTGATGTAATTGTGTCTTGTTTATATTGCATTGCAGAGATGGTGAACTGAGTTTGAGTAGATCAATGATCAATAGCTCTGATAAGATAATTCGAAAGGGTGGCTCCTCAATCTTCCATCATGCTGTAGAAGGTTGGAAAATCAATTCTTCTTTGGTACTGGAAATAAGGTGAGTGTCTCAAATAAAAAGCAGTTAATTTCCTATTACCTATAATTCTTTTCATCTCGTATTGCCTATAATTATTCTGGTCTGGAAAACAGTAATTTGATTTCCATTTGCAAGTGGATGTTTTATAACTGTGCCTATTTAGGTTCTTTGTTAAATGCAAATAAATTATGTTAGACTCCAAAGTCAAGTCATACTTCATAAGAATAAATAAAATGTTTTCACATGGCTGTGTCAGTCAGACCCATGCAGTCAATATCTACATTATGCATGTTCACGTTTGAGCTGGTTGTCTAGAACTCTTTTGCAGTCAGCGGTGAGAAACTGGCACTTCTAGGACATGATTCCCTCTCATCCTAAAGGTTTGAAATGGAAGAGATGGAAGTAATCTCAACATACCAGTTTTTCTCCCTGAACCACAAACGGAGCTTAGGCAGACAACTTAGATGTAGGAGTCAAGAGCTAGGACCTCAGGTGTTGCGAATCCAACCCTGTGCTTGGCTGGTCCAAGTCACAAGGTCAGATATTGACAATACCCGTATCTTACGCAGTTTCCTTTCCTGAAGTCAGAGAGGCCAAAAAGAGCCTTAGGTTCATGCTGAGGGGGGAAACACGGTAGCATAGTTAAAGTGAGTGATAGTTCTGAGGTGCCTTAGTAGTTACAGTGGGTCTGCTCACCTTGGGGCCTGACAGAAGAGAAGGCAGAACCCTCGTAGTGTGTTGTATCGTCATCGTATCTTCCCTGTCTTAATCAGGAAGGTGGCCAGTGAGAGAAGTATATGGAGCATGGGGTGGCAGTGTGGAGGGCTAGGAGTGTTGCGTTCTGGAAAAATGATAGAAAACTATTTTTAGGAACAATCACATAGCACAGTAGATATGATTTTCTGAAGATTAAGATTTTGAATAGGAATTTGATCTAATTAAGATGTGGTTTCTATGTCATTTCCCTTTCTATTTTTTTTTTTTTAATTAAAGGACAGCTTACAAAACCCTTAAACAGGCAGTGTTTCCATGTAGAAAAGCATGGCTTCTCTAAGAAAATTAGGTGGGGTATTTTTTTTCAATGACTGCTTTTTTACGTCCCTAATTCTAAAACATGCAGAAGATATGGGTAGCTCAGAAACGTATAAAGCTGTAGTAAAGGGCTGATGTTCTGGAAGTTTTGTGCTGTGCTTGACATAGTGCAGCCCAGCTGCGAAAGCCGAGGAACAGAGAATCAGGGATGGAAAGAGAGCCTGTAGCTGTGTCTCAGCTGCCTGGCAAGTGCTCTGTGGAGCTCTGTGGAGTCCCCAGTCTCTGACTTAGCAGACTAAAGGACCCTTGAGCACTCGGCGGCTCCCCAGGTATCTGGGTTTCCTACTGGTGAAGACTTGATGATTGCCCTAAAATGCAGCTGAGGTGCAGCTCAGGAATGGAGTTTCTTCCAGGACTGTCTGTTCAGTTGCAGTCTGTTTGACCAGTGTATGGCTGTTCAATGAAAGCTAAGTTCTGCTCTGAAAGATAAGCAGATTTTCTATATAAGTAACAGTATTTAAAATGTATATTCATATAACTGGCAATTTAAGTTGGACAAATATGATTAACTTCAGAAGACTAGTGTTGAAATTTCAAATCATAGGTTATGGTTCTGACAGAAAATAGCACACTTTTTATTTGTGAAATAAACTGATTTGGAAGTCATTGAATGATTGTAAATAGAGACAGGTAACTCTTTTCAGACATTTTGGTGAGAAATTAAGGGTCGTATTTCAGAACCATTTAAAACTGATACACCTTGCTGCTCAAGCCAAACAGCAAACAAGTGAAAATATTACAATAACTTTCTGATTAAAATTGAGAGAAAATGAAGCTTGGGTTATGCTCATTTGACACCTGTTTCAAAACTAAAATATATCATTTAGACAAAGAGGTAAAACAGTAGAGAGTGCTTTAGATTTTTTTAAGCCTGTTACTACGCGTGTATCATCTCAATCTACTAAAATCATGTGTTTCAAAATCAGTTTTTTCCTTACTGTTGGGCAGGAGGGAGGCAAGTTCTCTCATTTTCTAAACCACGGATGTAGTTTTAAGAAACATCATGATGTGATTATGTAATGGTTTTCAAAAATTGTACAGCGAAGCATGTTTTTTTGTCTTAGTAATACAGTGAAGGAAAACATGTATTTTGTACATTGCTTTAAGCACTGAAGGTTCCACTTTATCACTGTAAAGATTTTCTGTACAGTAGAGAGCATAAAGCTAAGATATTTAGATGTGCACATTGCTAGTCTTGTTTTGAGATGAAATACCATGAACACTGAGGCAGAGAGCAGGGATTTTCACTGAACCAGTGAAAGATTTTAGATTAATGTGACTTAGGGCCAAAATTTGACATAAACTGTATGAAAGGAGTCTGTGCTACCAGCCAGTCATATTCTTTCCAGAAATCCTTTTTGCTAATGTGCATAGTATATTCAATAATGGTACTCAGCGGTGAGGGAAGGAAGTTTGGTGTGTTTTCGCCTGAGGAAGCCACATGCAGGCCCTTGTGATATGTGTTCCATTTTGATGCTGACTAAACAATGTGCATTCTTCTTTCACTTTTGCAGGCGGTTTGCTATACGCCTTTCTTCACTGTCACAGCAGTAAGAAGCATCTTAGCTGTAAATATTTTTACACTTACGGACCTATCAGGATTAACTTCAAATGTGTCTATCAACCTCCTAGATTGTTCATGTGGTTAAACTAACTGTTTAGCCCTCCAAAGTACATTACCTGCACTGTGTAGACTGTGAAGATGATTCATACTCTGTTATTGCAACTGTTAATGTGAACAGTGGTGGTCTTGTGGTGTGAGGTTGACCATAGCAAATAACAGTAGAAGAGAAACAAACAAAGAAAAAAACTAGTGCCTGTTGAATACTGTATAAAAAATTAGCCATTCTTAGCAGTGGAGATACAAGTTGTGAAACCATTACTGTACAACATTAAGACATTTCATATAACTTATAATTATCCATAAATGACCACTACTTTTGTGTCTTACATCAGCTTGACACCCACATTAACAATTTTAAAATGTAGGAAATATTTGATAGTGAGTTTTGCGCTGTGTGAGGACTGTTGATCAATGGTATGTCTGGACCTAGCTGGCTGGCAGATGCAGTATTATGCTTTTCTATTTGCTTTGCTGACAGTGAGCATCATCTCTGGCCATCTTATTTTTGCTCAGGGTAGTGACTGATCTATCAGCCTCAAAGGTCCTATGAATTCTTGGCAAGGCCAGGCTCAGATAGGAGTCAGTGACTGAAATAACTTCTTTATTGGGAGGATAAAGGGACCTCCCCATGGAAGGACGAAAAGCTGCCACTGGGTTTCTGGTGTCACAAAATGCTCTCTGGGACTTTGGAGCCAGAAGAGGCGGTCTAGGGAGTGTAGCAGCTCTTTTGGGAGAACAGCAACCCTTTGGAGATGTTAGGCTGTCATTAAAACAAAGAACAGACTTTCTGTGATTGAGGTGGAAGTGATGGGTATGATTAATTACTTCAGACTGTAGCAAATTTGCTGCCTTGCCAATCATGATTGGTCTTGTGGGAGAGTCATTTTTCCAACTGATGTTACTTTCTGATTGCTGTTAACTTCTTTGAAGAATAATTGGTAATTCCTGTGCCTAAGGGAAGAAGACTGCTTGCTTGGCTCCCCTTCAGTCTGAATTATTTCAGTCGCGAAGAAGATAGTGTCCACCATCTGCAAGGTTTTGTGTCTTAAGTACTTTCTACTCTCTGTAGCAATATGGGTTTTCCAGTTATGGAAATGAGGAAATTTTAGGTGCATTGAAGGCCATGCTTGCAGAAAGGAGAGATGTGACTGAGATGGTACAAACCTATTCACACAGGACTGGCACCAGCACATCTGTGACCTGTGTGAAAAGAACTACAGTCTGATGTCTCGGTGTGGCTCTCTTCTTCCACATGTTTTTTGATTAAATGTGGGTGTTTGTGTTGGAAGGAGCAAGCAGATGAAGGTTTTGAATTGCAGGAAGAAGGCAAAATGAACAAAAAAAAAAAAGTATGTCAAAGATGTATTTATCTCTTTGCAGTGTAACAGATGAGTGGAAGTTTCCTGTCAGAAAAATGTGAGAACTTGTAAGATGTTAACAGCATCATAAAAACAAAAAAGTGCAGCTTCCTCCTTAGAAAGTTTCAGATTATTATCATTGTTTATCTTTCAAGTTAATATGAAACAGCTATGGAGCAGTACAATTGTTCTGAAGCTTTTGGAGCAACATTCTGGGGCCAGTTGCACTGTTTCCTTCTGGTTTTCTGTGTCTCTAAGACATGCAAAGTGGGGCTGCTGAGCCTTGTTTAGTCATAATAAACCTTAAGAGCTTTTTTTCTCGTTAGACCATTGCCCCAACTGAAAGGCCAGTGTTCACTGTCAGTGGAGCGATTAACTCCTTTGACTCCTTTCTTTTGACACTAGCTTGCTTAACTTAATGAAAAGCTGACATACGGCTGGCCTTCACATGGTGAGCAGTAGTTGGGTCACAGTCTACATAAAAGCCCTCTTTTTCTTTTGCATGCTTGCCTGATTAGCAAGTGCTTCAGCTGCTGAAGTGACCTTTCTGGTCAAGGGAGAGTGGGGTGCCCTGAAGGGCACGAGGAGGGCTAGAATAGGGGCAGAGCCAGACAGCAGCTTCCCATAATGTGGCACTTCTGTTTGTGTGGTCCTTCATGGGCTGGGGAATGCCAGGAAACTTTCCACGGTAGAGTTGCATTTAGGCGTGTTTTTAAGAAATCCAAATCAGGGGTTGGACTAGATGACCTTTAAAGTCCCCTTCTAACCCAAATTGTTCTATAATTTCTAGATGCTGCTTTCCTTGAAGAGGTTTTCTTAAAACTCTTTCAGTCAGACTAAAGCCAGACCTAACACAGATACAAACACTTGCAGTCCCCGCTGCCTCCTCAGGTGGCCAACAGGAGCTGTAGCTGTAGCTGTCTACAAGGGCAGGCTGTGACCTTGTA